AAAATTTTCCGGAGAATCGTAAGGTCGGAGATCATGTGACTGCGCCCTCGATTGTTGGTAACGCTGGGACTTTTATTCGAATGTGGATGATCGTCCGGATTAGATCGGAATGATATGATCGAACTATAATGCTAAAGAACAAGTTAGTAATGGTCAATCAGAAACTCCAAATTTTGGTACAGTAGTTAAAGGCAGGCCTCAACCTTCATCCCAGAATCAACTTGATTTACTAACTTACGTCGCAAATTATACTGGACTTCAATTATTCACTAATCCTTCATCTCCAAATTCATCTCATTATACCGATCTTTCGTGTTTGCAAGAACCGAAGCTTAGATGTTATCAAAAAAAAAAATCTACCATTTCAAACTAAGGATTTATTATGTTTGAGTGTGGTGCATCCGCATGATAAAGAAATAAAATTTAGTATATCGGTTAGCTTTACTTCTGGTATTGATCCGATATCTATCACTCCGTCTCCTTTAAATCCGGGATATAGCGTTGTTGCAACAGTGAATACTGCCAAGCCGACGGCTACGCATAGTGAATCACCAAATTTTATTGCCAGTGGTAGCGATGTCGGTGGAGTATGGTTGGTTTGATAGGTGTTGGTGTTTCAAGTTCTTTTTATTACCTTGATTTATTTTGAAGACTTTACTCCCACTACTCTTTTTTATTTTTTGTCAAATAATTAAAATTGATACAATCTTTGTAATATATATTAAATTTTTATATCTTCATTGTATAACTGTAGAACCTTTTTTTTTTTTTTTGTATAGCTTTTTTTTTCCTTACCTACAAAAAATGTATTTAAATTAAAAAAATATATAATAATAAGATTACCTTTCATAAGTACTTATGTGAGTACGCATTCATCTTAAATAAAATAATATTCATATTTTCGAATGTTTATTTATATTTAATTAATTCGTGTTCTAGTTAAAAATGTAACTTGGACTGCATTCGAAATTCCGTTCCAACCTAAGTCTACAATAATTTCATCTCGACGTATGACATATATACTGAACATTTATTTGAGGTTTCGAAATTTTATACAATTATAATTTTAAAGTGAGTGCGTTTATTAATAAATCATAAAATTTTGCAGTTTTGCCGTCTTCATTTTACAAATTATTACAAAATAATAAAAAAATAACGCAAAAAAATTTCTAATTTATATATAATTTGTTTATTTATTTTCGATGTACTAAATTAATATGATGCAAGTTAGTCATCGAACAATCGTTCGATGTCCAGGCCACACCACGGAGAGGTTTGCATTTGTGACCCAGAAGGAGTTGAAATTGGGAATTTTAATAAAAAGAATCCTAAATCTACAGAGAAAAGGATTAGGAATAAACGACTTTAAAAAAAGTTTATTCGATTATTTTTCAATTTATTTGCCGATTTTTTTCGAAAAAAAAATTCGAAATAATAAAATACGATATCGATAATGTACCATTATCGATAAAGTGATTCGCATTTTATGGGCCTCTGATAGCGAATCAATGGTAAACAGAGAGAAATACTTCGTGATAGAAATTATTGCTACTCATCAAAATATAGCATCATCATTTCACAGAAAGTCGGACCAGTTTATATAGACGATCCACGAAACTAGACTATATCACAATTTTCGCCATGCTACTAGGGTGAAATGTGCCATCATCATCTCTTAGATCGTTGGGTCCAATATATAAACGATCTAAAAGACTAGACTATATCACAAGAAAAACCTTTCGCATGATCCCTTATCGCGTGTAGCTCTACTGGTTTTCTATCGAAAACAGGCATGAAAAAGGAAAACTTTGCGATATTCGGCGGCTTTCCAAGAACTTCCTCAGAAAATTTTATGCATAAACATAGTAGGGAAGCTTAGAGCTTAGTTTAAACTACTAAGTTCAGAGGCCCTATTCATGTTGGAAGGAGTACATCACTCGAAGAATTTAGTCGCAAAGTTTAAAAAAACAAGTGTAAAGAAAACGATCTTTAAGGGGTAGCTTGTAAAGTGAAAGAGGACACTTAACAAACGAGAAGTTAAAAGAGCAATCACATAGGACGACCGATCGACAATTCACCCGGTTAGACCGGAACCATCGAAACGATCTAACTTCTCCAAACCTATGTAAAGGTGCACAGGGTACGAAGAATAAAAATAATAAACGGAAAAGTAAAAAAAAAGAAAAGATAAAAATCAAAACAATCAAAACGTAAGAAAAATTAGATATATATCAATCAAATAAACAATGCATCTTATTGGTCAATCTGCGATATGTAGATAAACTAAGAAATCTAAACAAAAAAAACGTACGACAAAACTTTTCTTAGTCGACTATTATCATACGTAATATAGAGTATAAACACTCATTCCGGTTTTAATAGTGGCAGAATTGTTCGGTAGATCGCGAGTTATTGGCATTTTTTTCCTTTATATGACTTTTACATATTGCCAGAAACTTTCGGCATTCCGACATCATATAAAAGTAATAGTAATTCGCCGATTTTTACTATGAAATTTATACCCTTCAACTGCTTAAGCAATTTATCATATTTGCGTAACTGATATAATATTTTGCACCTCGATTTCTTAATGCAAATGCACTATCTAAATTAGCGGCTAATGATTTATTTATTATAAATCTTTATATTTACCGATCATGCGATAAGTTATCTCTTAATGCAAAAGTATTATAAGGTTCAGTTTTTTAATGATTAATTTAATTCTGCGAGCGTTTCATAATATCTACTCATAATACATCACGGCTTCATAAGAAACATACATTAATTTAAATCTAAAAGTAATCTTCATCTCTGTTCATAATTGTCTGGTTCAATAATTAATGATTTGGATAAATCTTCGACCTTTACGCGAGATAATTACGTCAGTTTTATATTCATTTCGCAAAGAAAATCGCAACAATCTGTGGATTTTTGGTTTATCACAACAATCCGTGAATTTTTGGTCTCATGGGAATCATTTCGTGCGATATGTGACACATATGCTAGGTTTATCTGCGCGAGGCACTTTTTTAGTTCTAGCATTACTGCAATATCGTTATTGCTATATATACAGATACAGTGGCGATCATAAATAATGGAGAAAAAAAAAAGGTTAGATCGCATTTTCTCTTGCAATTCCAAGTGTATCTGTTAGCTTTTTTTTTTATTATATCCGTAATGCTACCTTTTTTCAAAATTAAAATTTTAATCGCTTTTGATCATTTTTGGCAAGGATCAGATATGCACTTATTGACGATAAAATGTAACGAGGGTTACCATTGCACTGTTGCAGTGTGTTTAGATTAACATCGCATTGTTGTGGTGACGTCATAGGCGGCAATACTGGTTAGATCTTTAGATGTCATCTTAGTAAAATTGCACTGATTATATAATAGATGCCAATAAGATCTTTAGATCAGGTGTAATAAACAGGAGGAACTGTACCTAAAAATAGAAACATGTTACATGATTGGTTAATGTCATAATTTATAGTCAATTCTCTATGGAAGTGGGTAGGTCTACTAGTTAAAGCTGAAGCTTTCATATTGCATTTTAACAATATCAGTTGAATCAACTTGTAAAGATGTATATGTTAGTAAGTAAATTATAAAACACTTAACTACAAATTCTAGATATTGAAACAGACTCTTTCTGCAAATCCATTGCACAAAAATCAACTAAAAAATCGTTCGTCTAAAAACACTTATATCTTTTTATTTTA